GGGGGGCTGAGGCAGTGTCCTTAATGTTAATGGTTCCAGCTCTATTGTCCTGGGGTTGCGAAGTGTGTGGGCACTGTGCCAAGCTCTGCACAAGCGCTCTGCCACTGAGTCAATATACCTTCCCTCTGGAAATGCAATTCGCTGCTAAGGAAATGAAGACCAAGGGCGGGGGTGGGGGGTGGGGCAGGGAGATTCTCCAGGTGCCTCTGGCCACTCCTGAAATCCTCCTCCCTCCCCTACTCCTGGCTCTGCACATTTCTGCCACCCTCAGAGGATTCTTCAGATGATGGGGACCTTCAGTGCGTGTGTTTAAAGACCGTGTCCAAAGTCAATGCCAAGCACATCACCAACCTGGAGGTGATCAAGGCTGGACCCCACTGTGCCAACACCCAGATAATGTGAGTCCTGGCCCTGAGCAGTTGGTGCCCCCCTTTGCCCAGCTGTCCCTCTGTCCCTCTGTCAGATCTTGTTTTGGAATCCAGGCACCAAAAGGTGCATATCTTCTCTTTTTCCTGCAGAGCTACACTGAAGAATGGAAGTAAAATTTGCCTTGAAGGGGAGGTTTCTTTCTTTAAGGGATTAGTCCGGAAACTCATGGCGAAGTAGTTTCTACCTGGCTAAATATGTACTTTGCTATAAAACTTGTTTGGGTGTCCCCCCACTCCCCGTCTCCCCCCACATTCTAACTAAAAAAAAAACTTCTAATGATTATATTATCCTTCAAATCTTAAATAAATAAATAATATGAACCAAGTTGTGATTTTCTCAAATATTGCTTCATTATTATGAAGAAAACAGTGATGTCATATCATATTTTCTTACAAGAAAATACCTCTAGAATTGTAAGAAAAAAATGTTTTGAAGGAGGGTTTGTTTTATAAGGACTGAATTTGCTTGGTGCTGCATGTTTGGCTGATAGATATTTGCATGTTTAGGTGACAGCATACTTCATAGATGCATATTTACTTTAGGTGTTAGCTTTGTTAATAACAGCATTTAATATGTCAAGATCATTGTATTGTCTTGAGCAAAAAATAAAAAAAATAATAGAAATTAATCACTACTGGTTTCCAAGGCTCTTTTTTAAATTAAGAAAATAAATCAGACCCTGATTTATATCCCTTTAAGACTTAGAATCCAGTATCTTATTATTAGAAAATTAATAAAAATAGAATTTGAAAAGAATAGTTAATGTTACTCTATTGATACTTTGGGAAACTGCATTAAAATAGCTTAATCTTTATAAGTTTTTTGAAAATGTTGATATTCTACAAAAATGGAAATTAAAAACATTCTGTATTCATAATGCTGCCTACAATGGATCCCTATTTTGCAAACCTACCAGTTTTGTTCTTTTTATATTTACATGTTAGTATTCCTCTAAGCATGCAGATGTCTTGAATAGAATTTTTTTTCCCTGGGCATTTTCAGGTTGAGGAATTGGCTTATTTGCAGTTCACTATTCTCCTTTGCATCCCTAACATTAGAGGTGTTAAGATTACATGTTCAACAGCCATGGAACTAGGAGCAGTGCAAGCTGAAGTTTTCATTCACACTTTGGGAAGACATTACTGCACTTTGGGGAGAAAAGAAGATGTTACAACATGGGTATATTAGTTACCTATTGCTTGTGTAACAAATTCTCACAAACTCAGTGGCTTACACAACACAAATC